AAGAGGGTGCCCCAGTATCCATCCCTGTGCACTAATTCTGTCTCCAGCTTTAAAGCATCCAGAAAGGCCCATCTCCACAGTCTCCTCCCTGATTCTGACCTAATAACCTCGTATCTGGAGTGATTCTGATTTTAGTCCAAAGGCCATGATCCCAAACCCACTTTACTGTAGCTTCCTGAGCCACTTTAATGTTCTTAGGCCAGTAACTAATCATCTGGTGACATGATCTAATAAGTTTATACCACAACTCTGTGTAGGAGAGAGTGAGAAGACACTGACCTTCAGAATGTTTGCTAATTGTTCCACCATCAACTGAACAAACATTTAGTGAGGAGAATTATTCACCATTAAAGATGATGTGCTAAAGATGATGAAGAAATAAACAAGACAGTCCCTGCCAAGTTGCATATATTCTTATACAGAGAAGAAAATTTATAGCAGTTGTACGTAGTAACATGTGCTACGGAGAAGGAACACAAAGCGTGGTGTGCAGACACCAAGGTCCGGGTACGGAGGGGCTAAGAGTAGAGGTGGGCGATGCGGGAGGAGTTTGATGCAGTAGATAGAGTTGGAGGAGCTTCCAGAGAGGAATTAGGCCTAACTTGTGTGGCGTCAGAGGTCTGGAGGAGACCAGTGGTAAAATTAGAGGATACTATTAGGACTGAGGGGACTCGAACCATCTAACCAGTGTTTCTTAGCCTCGGCACTGCTGTCACTTAGGACTGATAATTATTTTCTGACGGGAGCTGTCCTGTGCCTGTAGGATGTCCAGCAGCATCCCTGGCCTCTACCTACTAGATGTCAGTCTCACTTACCCTCCCTCCACCGTCAGAAATGTCTCTATACATTGCCAACTGTCCCTGGGAGGTGGGGACGAAATCATCCCTGGTTGAAAAGCACTGGCCTCAACCAATACCCTCATTTTACTAATGTGAAAACGGCAACCCAGTTAAGTATAAATGATTTGCCCAGCTAGTTAGTGGGAGAGACAAAAATAAAACCCGGGCTTCTGATCCTATTCAGCCTCCTTTCTATAACATCACAAGGTGCTTCAAGGACCTTTCAGATCTAAGTTTTTCCTCTTCCTCCAGCCTCATTGTTGTTAGGTAGTTAGGGATCTGACTGATGCTGTGTGTGTGAACAGGGGTAGCCAGAGTCCTGAGCTCGGCCTCAGCACTGGCATGACACCCTAGCATGCCACTGGGTTTTGGTTTTTTAATTTTATTGAAGTATAGTTGATTTACAGTGTTGCATTAATTTCTCCTATACAGCAAAGTGACTCAGTTACACATATACATTCTTTTTCGTGTTCTTTTCCATGACGGTTTGTCCCAGGATACTGAGTATAGTTCCCTGTGCTGTACAGTAGGACCTTGCTGTTTATCCATCCTATAGATGCTAGTTCCTAGCATGCCATTTGTGACTATGGCAGCAGAGTCGCTCGTAAAAATCAGGACCTATTTAAGTTGTTGGGAAATTATCTGCACGAGTAGTTATTGTTTCCCAAGTGACTTTGACCATCCTTAGCCAAATGCATTAATAACTGCTACAACTTAAGCCAACTGACAGTGTAAAATACCAGAAAAGCCCCACATGCATGCTTCTGAGCGCAATGCAACGCTCCATCTTGGCATTTTTCTGGGGCGCCCTTTGCAGATCTCTGGTCTTCATATCTGTAACTGGTCCTCGAAACACTGAACCTGCCCCCTATGACTGCAGTGATCTGAAAGTGGTCTCCATCCTAACCTCTGAAGTCTAGAAAGCTGGACTCATAACACTGTAGTCTCCCAAGCATAACTAAAAGAGAAGAAAAGGCTACAGAAGAGATACTAGACAACCTCATCTTCAATCCTCCTTTTCACAGTTAGGCAATCCTAGTTCCACCTAACAAGGAAAGTAGATATAATGCTCACTTGGGTTCTACATTTTTTCAGAGTGAATAAAGGCCTTTGAATTTTTCCCATTGCGAGGAAATTATTTTCAGTATGGTGCAAACTCATAGGGGTAGAAAGAGGAAACTGGATCAAATGTTTATAAGAAAAGAGGACCACGAGGTATATTCATTCATTCATGCAATAAATATTACTGCCTATTTGTTAGGCATTGTTCCAAGCCTCTGGGGTACAGTAGTGAACAAAGTTCCTGCCTTCGTGGAGCTTATATCCTAGCGTGAAGTGACAAACAATGAATAAATAATAAGTAGTAGAAGTGCTATGTGGCTGAACACACATGAAGGTAAGCAACAGAGAATGAGGGAGGAGTACTGTTTTAGGTGGGAAGATCAGTAAGGACATGAATGTGAATAAAAATGTGAATATTCACTCCAGTCTAATATTTGGTTTCCTCCCACGTAACCTCGTTTGGGAGTGTATGTGCTTGATCAAGTCCCACTACCACCAATGATTATCAAGGCTTTATTTAAATTGATCCCATGAGTGTAAAGATTACTATCTTGTTTTGGTGGTCCATCCTGTTTCTGTGTGCTCTACATTGAGGAGATTATCTTAATAAGAAAAAATCCGACCCCAGCAACTTCCATCCAAACTATAGGACTAAAATATGGCGCCCCAGATGAACCAAATACTTCTCTCTCTTGTGGTACTCAGTGGTAAGGTATTGACTCCTAACTCCAATCCGGACACTGACCAAAAGCTCTTCAGGGAGCCAGATGAAAGGAGACAGAGTTTTATTTTATCCCATGACACTAAATTTTAACTTCAAGTCACACAGTCAAACTAGAATTTGATAGCTGATGTAGAATTAAATAAGTTAAAGAGAGAAAAGTATCATTTTCTCTTCCTAATCAATGTTCACATGAGAATTTTGCTTTGCAAGTGTCTACCGGGCTTCTGGGAGAATAGAGGGGAGGATGGATGCCTTTAATTCAGTGACAGTTTGGGAGGTGGCCACCCTCAGACTCAAAAGACTAGAAAGAATTATGGATAATCAGTCTGCATCCTCTGAAGTGGTCTCAAGGGACAGAAGCCAAGAGGGGTAGGGATGGAGCTGCATACCAGACAGCTGGTTTCGATCACTGCCTATGAGATACAGGCTGAGATGGGGGCCACTTCCTGGTCGAGAAGGAATAGCAGAAATGAAACCTGGCTCATAATCAAGATATCATCCAAATGGCAACTTTCACTGCAGTCACAGATCCCAGTTAAGGCGTGAAACTTGAACCTCCCTGTGGGTCCTTTCACATAGCATCTCTATCTGAGCTCATCGCCCTCCTAGTCGATTGCAATCTGGGATGATCCAGGGACCTGGGCAAAAACCAAAAATGCAAAACGTGCTTCCCAAAATTGCCAGGTAGGAGAATATAAGCAGCAGCTTGATCCTAAGAGGTGCCCAGGCCTAAGGGATTTCTTGAGTGACTCTACATTGCCAGATATAGCTGGATGTAAGTTTATCTGTATGTGTAAGATTTATCATATGCATATATATAGTCATATAAAATTATATAAGATGGTGTAAGATTTCCATTTATTTCCTGTTGCTCTGACTTGGAGAGCTGCATTCATGAGGGAGGGATAATATTTTTAACATATTCCCAGATGCATAGGTCTAATTTACCCAAACCCCAATTTTTTTAAAAATTAGTAGCATGCACTTTAAGAAACCAAAACATACCTGAAAGCGCTACTGTTGTAATAATACATTTAATTCAAAGAATGCCAGTTGTACGCATGTCCCTAGAATCTAAGTACAGTGAAAGACTATTGGGTTCTAATGTGAGAGAACAGGTGTTAATTGTGTCGTGAAAATCTCTATATTCTGTTAAATAAATATAATGCAATCATGAATATATCTGAGAACTTGGATTAGAGGCAGGGGGGAGTTATTGTATAGAATTTTCTCTATGAACCCAAAAGCCTAGGAGGCCTGAAGCCATGAAAGTTAAAAATAATTATGCCCTTGTTTTAGATAACCTGGGCCGAAGAAGACAGTTGGGAGAGGAAAGCGAAGGGTGGGTCTGGAGACAGAGGCCATCTCCCACCAGCCAGAGTACAGAGCTAGGCTCCTCTGTCCCTTCCTTTTCTGGCTTTACTGCCATCAGACATCTTCTCCGCTTTGTTTGCTGTGATCCCCCTTCCCCCCATTCTCTTCCTTCTTCTGAACATGGGATTTCCTGACTTCACATTTCTGCTGCTTCAAGCCACCTAGCACGTGGGATAGTAACATCCAGCCTGTGTGTTGGTGAAAAGAAGAAAGGGGGGAAGGGAAGGGGAAGAAAGAAAGGTGGGAAGGACTAGCTGATGAGAGATGGTGGGTAAAGCATCTGGTCACTTTCATGCAGCAGGACTCTTGGGCAAATTGCCACGTGCGACCTGGAGCCTCTCCTTCTATTCTCATCTGTGAGTTTTCTCAGAAGGCAAAAGATTATAAAAATCATTCCACCTTGTTAAGAAACACCAACCGACCATATTCTGAACTATTTACTATCTACGTCATTGCTCTACAACGTCATAAAGCGTGCGGATCATTCAATCATGTCAGGGTGCCTCTGCGGTAGCCTACACCTGCATCTACCATCGGGGGCGATGCCAGTCTGAGGATTCTGCCTTCAACTGTAGTTTCCTTGGCTTTAGGAGAAATTATGGTGACACAATATTCCAGAAAATTACCAAATTGGAAAACAGAAGATTCCAGGTTTTCCCATTTCTGGGTTTTTAATCAACCAAAAACAAGAGGCAGTGTTAGCAGCCCAAGGTTCAAGGCTACGCTGTTACTAACCAGCTGCTTAATCTTGGACAGTCGCTTTACCCCTCTGGTCCTCACCATCCTCCTCTGTAAAACAACTTCTGGCACAAATGTCTATTTTTTCAACATTTCTTATAGTAAATGAAAACCAAAGTTCTGAGTTGAGTATTACAAATCGTTCTTAGTGGATGAACGGATTTGTAAAACACCATATGTTCTAGATCTGCCCATTCTGTTTCTGTAATAAACATGTAAGTGTGAGTTGCTTAGTTAAATAAAAGTGTAATTTCTCATTGCAGATAAGTGAGATTTACCAGTCCCTGGATGAAACGCTTGGAAAGTCTTTAAATGCCGGAGTTGACTGCCATTTCAAAGAAAAGAAAATAGATGGTTTTGAAAAGTTCATGCTGTTTCTTCATTGAATTTTAGGTGAGTGCGTCTGAGACAAGAAATTTAAGATGGACATTGAACTATTTCCCCTTAAAGTGTTTCTCTTCTTTGCATGAAAAGAAAATGGGGTTCAATATAACCAGCATTTTATACTTTTAATGAGGTGCCACATAGTGAAAGACTTAGTTCCTGTGCCTTTTGTTTATTTATTTTTATTATCAGAAACCATCTTGAATGATGAGGTGTAAGACACAGAGATGACCTTGACATCTCTTGCTGATTTCTATTAAGCAGATGCGGTAATGCTTCATTCTATTCTACAGGTCATCAAGTTTTTAAATATATAACAGTATTTAATATCAAAGTAATAAGCAAAAATGAGCTAAGACCATGTTTCAGTGATATAAATGAGAGAAAAATTTAATGGTGATAATGACAGTTTAGTCATTACAGGTCTGGGTGTGAGATAAGGCTAACGTTTCAGAGGCTGCCCGCTGGGAGATCTCATATTGCTTAATTTAAGGCAGGGCATGGTTTAGGTTAGGTGTGGTTTTCAAACTGCTGTGCACAATTAATCATGCACGTGTGCTCACACGCTAAGCTTTGTTTTCCTGATCGTGAGATAGATGGATATATATTTTTTACATCACCATACATAATTACCCTTCCATGCTACAAAAGACATGAGCGTACAAATTGGTGACTATTAGTCTGCAGTATGCCACTGTCATTTCTCAGCAGATCAGAGAGGAATAGAGGAATTGAGTGGTGGTCTTATTGAGGAAATTGTGTGGCTTTTTCCACCTCCTCCTGAGTCCTGTTTTCAAAGTGTGGCTTTATTATCTACTTTAAAGAATGGTGATTTCCAGAACATCAGAATGTACCTCTGTTCACAGTTCTGAATAAAACAATGCAACTGACAGAGCATTGACCACTGTCTAAATCTAATCCAAAACGACAGTGATGACTCCTTTCTACCTTCTATTAACTTCAGAGTGAAGGTGGATTATTGTCTCATCATCTTAAGGGGGTGTAAATTTGGTTTATTGAGGTCATATGTGGAACTAAAATGGTGATTTCATTTATTTACAAGATATTTGTTGAATGTAATTCCCAGGAGCTAAACTTAATGCCCTTTAAAAATATCAGTAAATCAGTTTGCCTAGTGTAACATTGCTCCGGAGGAGAAAATGAACATGGAAAACTTATTTTCTTAACTTACTTAACTCCCAGCTTTCCACTGTGCTGGTCTGGGCCTGTTTTTAACTTCACATCCGCTCCTTGCCCTGCTCCTATTCTGCTGATTCCTTGGGGGCTGACCCCTAGAGGCTGAGTTTTCCAGCCCCCAGACCCACCCCCTGTTGCCTCTAGCTTCCCGCAGTGACCTTGAACTCTGAGCTCCAGTAATGTCACCTCTTCCCTCCGTCCCTTGAGACTTGTGGGTAGTGGTGTCTGTGGCTTCCTGCTGGTACTAACCTCCAGGTTGATTTGCTATCCTTAGTTTAGCTTCTCAATTCTTCCATCATCTGTATAACAATTTTCCTGTATTAAATTCCATCTGTTTTAAATATTTAGACTGTTTTCTCTTTTCTTGGTTAGATCCTAACCGACCCGTCAGTGCTTCATTAATTTCTCCCAAAATTATTGGAAGAAAAGTGAACAGGGATTACTTGCTTCTCCCAAGGAAAATAAATGATTCTCAGGAAAGAAAATTTTAAGTTAAATGTAAAGCTGGATATTTTTACACTGAAAAAAACTAACCTAATATATTTAAAGCCATATTCTAAGCTATACAATATTGCAGCATTAACTTGTTAGTGTTAACAGAGTCTTTGTCAATATTCCCATTTTGCGTATCAAATTAATGGGAAGATTTTTTAAATTCTCAGATATGCACCAAATATGAGTTTTACTTTTCTAATATTCGCATTTCACAAGTTTCTGTACGACCAGTATAAGAACTTCATAGGGCATCAGTCTCATTCCTACATTCACATTTAAATCTCAGGCTTCAGATTTATTTTATTATGGATCTGATCACTGTCTTTCAGTAATGGTTGTTTGCTATTTGAAGATCCCTTATGGTCCGAACATTTCCCATGTGCCTTAATAAAAACTGAGTATATTGGAAAGCAAAGTGATGAGGATGCCAAAGTCTGTCCTTTTCGACAGGTAAACGATTCACCGCTGCCCAACAACCCCACTCACTCTAAAGGGCTTCCTGGATATTAAAGAGGCTTTGTACTTAATCATTTTGGCACTTCACTTGGTTATTTTAAACGCGAGTGCCTCGCTATTTTCATTTCCTTCTCATTTATTTATGTAGACATTTTCCTTTTCAATCTTTTCTCAGAGGTCATGATGACTGCTCATATGTCCATTTTAATGTATTGTGGGTACACTCACAAGGACATGGTGTCCCTTCTACCAACAAATTTTCATCTGTTCAACCAAGATCAGTGTTAAACCTGCAATGCCTAACTGAGAATCCTTTTAGACAATGTGAAAATGAGGTCATGAGCATAATTTCTTGGACCCCTTCATAACCTAAAATTGGGAGACACAGGGATGTGTAGCTTAATGGTATGGTTTAAAATGCACTATATAACTGGTGTCCTCACATCTTCCTTAGTTTGGTACAACACCGAAAATTCTAATCATTCACATTTCTCTCTAGTTTATGGAAATGAGGCTTTATAAAGTCATATTCAGAAAAAATAGTCTTGGGAAGAGAAATACACCCATTAATAATGCATACTACATTACACATAAGTCGCAACAGGCCAATAAATTGAAAGACAAGTTATTGGGACAAGGAATAATGACTTTATTTGGAAAGCTGGCAGACAAAGAAGATGGTAGACTCGTGTCCCAAAGAACTATCTTGCCTGAGTTAGAATTCAAGCTTCTTTTATACTAAAAGGGGAGGCAGTAAAGTCAAACATTTCCTGGTTCTGGTCAGCCAGATGTGTTAATTTCTTCCTCCCTGCAGTCATTCACAGGTGGGCCTAGTCAGGATGTTTCCTGTGAGCTAAACAAAGGTATCTTAGCTTAACACTCATTACCTGGGAAGAAGGGTTCCCAGAAATGGGCCATTATGTATAATTTAAGCTTATAGACAGCATCCTTTTAGTGATTAACTTGTAATAGTATACAAAAGTTCTTCCCTATTATATTTGCATCCCTGGAAACAAGCACAGTGCTTGGCACACTGTACATAATTTCTAAACAAACAATTGGTGAGTAAGGACATAGGCACAAAGCAATTGCTGGTTAATGCTTACTGAGTTCCTACTTTATACCAAACGCTGTTTTGTATGAACATATACTTCATTTCATGTTTAAACAAATCTATAGGTAATATTATCATTTCCTTTTTTAAGGATGAGGAAACTAGGGCCCAGGAAGGTTAGATAACCTGCCTGAGGTTCAGTAAATTGGGGTGAAAATTCAAATCCAGGCAGTCTGGCTTAGAGCCTGAGCACTTAATTATTATGCTGCACTGTCTCTTGTGTAATATAGTCATCAAGTAACTTTAAAACACAGAAGCAACACTGTTTATTATCTTAAAATGTATGTCATTCTAGAATAAACCTGTATTAAGAAATCTTGCTCAAACTTCTAACAGCCTCACTTTGAACACAAATTCCCTCTTTTCAGTGTTCCTAAGCTCCTTTCCTTTTAAAACATGACTGCCTAAATCAACTTCCTAATTGACATTCAGATCTCATCATTTCCATTCTTTAATGGTTTGTCCTGATGTTAATATTTTAAAACCCTATTGCTCTTTCATGCCATTTGCTTAATGGAAGAATGTATAATCTTGAGCAGCAAGTTACTTAAGCTCTCTGAGCTTCACATTCCCCCCTGAAAAGATATATCCAATTTGTTGCGAAGACTAGAAAATAATATCCATAAAACAACAAAGTACAGTTCCTGGTATGTAATAGGTACCCAGCAGAACAGCAACTGACCTAGTTAACCTCACCCACTTCAATCTCAAAGCCAGTGTTGGCTGCCCCATCAACTGCAGAGCAAAATCTGCCTCCTATATTCCTTAGCATGTCATAACAGAAGCACAACAGACCCCTGGAGTCTCAGCACCTGCCTTTGTTCCTCATCGGTTGACCTTTGCTAACATGGGGATGATCTGCCTTCTCTGAGCCATGCGCTTTTTGCCTTCACTTTTGCTCGTGCTGGTTCTTCTGCCTAGACGTTCCTCACATCCATACCCCCCTCCAAATCCCCCCTCACCCACAAGCACATATGCACTCTTCAGAGACTTGGCATATCTTAGTCATCTTTCAAGATCCACCACCTCTATTGCTACTATGGGTTCAGTGAAGTCATTGATGAACTCCTCCTGGCTCAACAGTTATCAGTCCTATTGCTGAATTCACATCGCCCTTTGGGCCATTTCTAGGAGATCAGCTCCTGTTGTAGACAAGAGAAAGAAAAACCATCTCATTCAGTCACTCACAGTCTCATGTAATTCCTCATGTTATCTGTCCATCTTCCCTTTGTCAAGGACAAGTACCAAGTTTTTTGGTTAGTATTTGAATCTTCTTTACCAAGCTCAGAGTAGTCCCTTTTGGTTTTGAATGAAGCATGAAGCGTCATATTTTGAGAAAAGTTTGAGTGTTTTTAGTGTGGTGAAGATTCTCATACATCGCCCAGCCATTACAACAAAAGGGGAGTGCTCCATCAGGGGAAAGGGGACCTTATAGGGAGGATCTGTACCATTCTGTGCCAAGCACCAAAACAGATGCTCCACAAACGTTATCTTATTTAATTTTCATAACAACCCTTCACATTGCCTATTATTTCCCTTCTTATTTAGACAAAAGCTAGGATTCCAAGAGTTAAGGTAAATTGTCAATGTCATATTTCTGGTAAGTGGCAGGACAAGAATGTTAAGTCATACCTTTCTACTGCAGCAAATTGCCACTCTAAAAGAGCTTTCCGTTTAATCCTATAAGAAGAATATGTTTGTAACATAATGCTAGAATTTTCCGTTTAAAATATTCACTGAGGGTAAG